AAGACGTGTGAATCTTAAAGGAAATTTACAAGTAACAGAAATGCTGAAACTCAAGGGGCAAATATCAAATGTGAATCTTAGAAGGCAAGTAACAGAAATGTGAATCTCAAGTGAAAACTTTCAAAAAGTAAAAGACGTGTGAATCTTAAGGGAAATTTACAATTAACAGAAATGCTGAAACTCAAGGGGCAAATATCAAATGTGAATCTTAGAAGGCAAGTAACAGAAATGTGAATCTCAAGTGAAAACTTTCAAAAAGTAAAAGACGTGTGAATCTTAAGGGAAATTTACAAGTAACAGAAATGCTGAAACTCAAGGGGCAAATATCAAATGTGAATCTTAGAAGGCAAGTAACAGAAATGTGAAACTTGTGGGAAAAGTAGAAGCAACAGACTTGTGATGATCAAACTAAAACTTATAAGTAAAAGACGTGTGAAACTCATAGGTGGACTTACAAGTAATAGGAATGTGAAGCTTAATGTGTTAATCGTGCTATACTTAGACTTTGTTTTCCATTCTTATGTACATCAACTTTATTTATGTTGTACTTATTCCTATCATGAAATTATTCACACCAATATAAACATAACAATCTGCTGTTTAATACAGGCAGTAAATAACACATAGGTTTTTAGTTTTTACAGACAGCATATGGCTTTCTTCCTGTACTTCTCTGGGCTTATCATTTTGTCTTTCACATCTGACCTAGTCTTCCCTTCTTTCTCCTTTCTTTTCTTTCTGGTTGAACTCCTGTCTTTATATCCTTATCTCAAACACACGTCGAGCCGGTCCCTTTGTTTCGGACATTGAACCTGTATACTTGGTTATAACGTTTGATAACCACAGGGAGTCTTGAAATCTCCACACCGACAGAAGTTAGAAAGGCGGCCACTATACCCGCTCACTCCAATCATTATATAATGACTTAGAATACTGTAATCTTCTAATTCTCTATATACTGACCAGAGGCTGCTTTCTTACACCTAGTTTCAAACGATGTTACCTTACACCTCACTTCATAACACTATCGAAAACTTATAAGAAATAGAAACGTGAAAATGGAAAGCTTACAAGCAATTTGAGGTCGTCTGAAAGTAATCATCTTATATCCATTGACAGTAGCTGCATTTAGCAAAGTAACACTGTTATTTGCACCTGGGTACTTTTGGTCTGGACAACTTCCATGAGTTCCTACACACTACAAAATAAAAGAAATTCATTTTGCCATATATATGTATTTGTACAATATAAGGCAGATATATTCCAAATCTCATGGCCTCATGACGAAAAGTTTCTATCACAAGGCTAAATAAAGCGGTAACAAAATATAACATGAAAAGTCACACCATAAAAGTTTATGAATATCAAATTGCAGTACATCAAGCTACGATTGTTAAATAACTTATAACAACAGAGATAGACAAGTAATCACCTGGGAAACAAAAGAGAAGTTATTATCTCGAAAGCTTTCATTCCAGACCCTCCAATATCAAAGAAGGACTATTAGGTCTGTAATTGGATTTTAAAAACATCTTACATATAAATTTACATCATTATATATCTTTGAAGGTATGGATTATACAAAGTTAAACCTAACATAATATTATAATCGGTAATCCGAGTGATGTCATATAGCAGAGACTTGTTATAAGAGTTGAATCATTATTTACCACAAAATGAGAAAAATTACACTAAGGTTTATAACAGTATAGCAAATTTACTGGCCTTAAGCATGAAAAATTATAGTCATCCTGAAAGATATTCAAAAACTTTTCGCTCGTGTATATACTGTATATAGTATTTCTCTAATAAACAGGCATTCCCTTCCAAGCTATCAGATTTAACAGATTTTTTCTCCATCCTTAGTTGGAAAGAAAGAGAGAACTGCTACTCTTTAATCAAAGACCCCTATCCACAGTGTTCGATCCCTATGGTGGACCCTGCGCAGATAGCCCATTGAGCAGCTTTGCGCATAACCAAATAAAACTTTAATCAAAAAATGTCACTTAATAACTCTTTTCAGTTATAATTGGATATTATTATATTTCTAGGGATAACACTTGTTAAGACTAGTATAAAACTGAATCGTTCATACAAATACGAGAACTTTTAAAACACGACCCTTTTATATGTTATATAATACAAAGTTCTGTCTTACTATACATGCTATTTATGGAGTAAGAAAACGACTATTTTATTTCAAATATATTTTTGAATTAAATCTCAATCTGTGTTTTGTTTTCTATATTTGTGTTATAAGGTGTTCACAATAAAACTTAATCTGAAAATTTCTAGGCATAAGGTGTTTATGATCATTCGTTTAACATTTCTGTCGTCTCGAGGTTGAATAAATAAATAATAGTTTCACATTTGATGTTCCAAGTTACGCAATCTTCATTTATTACACGATTATGAGAAATTAAGAGAAGACGTAGTGGAACTTGTTTGTCATATTAAAGAAAGCTAGTAACACATGTTGCTTACAATACAGGACTATGTGTAAAGAGAAGGCGTAGAAGCACCTGTGTATTACACCAGAGCATGTATCAAGAGAAGACACGGTAAGTCTGGTTTGTCATACAAACAATCATTGCATGCTTATTATGCAATTTGCTAAGTTAATAGCGAGACACAGGTAACCGGCAAGTAAACATTATTTTTGATTTGTAAGTTCATAATTCACAGTTGCCTTTAGTTGATATATTATATCAGTTTATTCTTTTATAAATATATAGAGAGAAAGAACAGTGAAGTATTGTGTGAAAAACAATAATAATTTCAACTTTTTCATACATATTTCAATTTATGTTATTTTAATATAATTTGAAAACAATAGTTTTACAATGTAATAATGTACGACGACGTGTGTTCGAACAACACTGTGGTATCGACATTAAGTGTGTAGTTGAAGAGGTCATTCTCATAAAGCGACTCACTTGTTCTTTACTAGCCAGGAAGTAGTCCTCGGCGTGACCTTGACCACCACTGTCAATCCACGTTACTATGACATCTGCATTCACCATCTCAGTCCTGCTGTCATCTTTGCTAAGTCCGAAAGCCATATAATCTCCATCACCTGTTTTTAACAACAGTTTGATCGTGATTAAAAACAGATTCAAAACTTTCAGGTTTACGTCGTCATGAAAAATCTCTCTTTGCAAAACATAAAAATGCCATTTCCACCTTTTCATAAGATAAAATATGAAAAACTAACCTATTTATGCTGTTATAATCTTCAACGTCAGTAAACAACTGTAGTTACTAACCTATTTATGCTGTTATAATCTTCAACGTCAGTAGACAACTGTAGTTACTAACCTATTTATGCTGTTACAATCTTCAACGGCGGTAGACAACTGTAGTTACTAACCTATTTATGCTGTTATAATATTCAACGTCAGTAGACAACTGTAGTTACTAACCTGATTATGCTGTTATAATCTTCAACGTCGGTAGACAACTGTAGTTACTAACCTATTTATGCTGTTATAATCTTCAACGTCGGTAGACAACTGTAGTTACTAACCTATTTATGCTGTTACAATCTTCAACGTCGGTAGACAACTGTAGTTACTAACCTATTTATGCTGTTACAATCTTCAACGGCGGTAGACAACTGTAGTTACTAACCTATTTATGCTGTTATAATCTTCAACGTCAGGTAGACAACTGTAGTTACTAACCTATTTATGCTGTTATAATCTTCAACGTCGGTAGACAACTGTAGTTACTAACCTATTTATGCTGTTATAATCTTCAACGTCAGTAGACAACTGTAGTTACTAACCTATTTATGCTGTTATAATCTTCAACGTCGGTAGACGATCACTAGTGGGCACAAAGGCGTTACATTAAAGGATACATTAAACGTTGTATAAGGGCAAAATGAGTATGCCATTTGATAAAAATAACTCATCCTAGTCAATACTGATCAGTCGATAACAATGTTAACTCATCCTAGTCAATACTGATCAGTCGACAACAATGTTAACTCATCCTAGTCAATACTGATCAGTCGATAACAATGTTAACTCATCCTAGTCAATACTGATCAGTCGATAACAATGTTAACTCATCCTAGTCAATACTGATCAGTCGATAACAATGTTAACTCATCCTAGTCAATACTGATCAGTCGATAACAATTTTAACTCATCCTAGTCAATACTGATCAGTTGATAACAATGTTAACGCATCCTAGTCAATACTGATCAGTCGATAACAATGTTAACTCATCCTAGTCAATACTGATCAGTCGATAACAATGTTAACTCATCCTAGTCAATATTTATTAGTTTACTAAAATGATTACTCATTTTACATAATACCAACCATTCGATAAAAATTATTACCAAAATTAGTCAATACTGGCTATTTGACAAACATACTAACTCGTCTAGTTCAATACTTAACATGTTACTAGCATGGCTGCTCATTCTAGCTAATACTGACTGTATCCAATTGTTACTTATTTTAATCAGTACTTGACAAAACTAGAAATTCCAGTTAATTGCTATTTGACATCAGTGATATTTCTTCTTATTCAGTATTGATCATTTGTCAGCCAAATCTTAGTGTTGATATTTAATAAACGTATATGTATAGAAAACATTTTCATAGATGTTCATGAATATTATTACTCTTACAACTATTTATTGACTGAAAATTTTTCCCCATTATGAGGGATAGTTGGCTTACTGTATTACATTCATCACTCAGAAAATAAGAGTAACTATGAGTAAACGAAGAACGACATCAGTGTAATGTAATAGTCTTGGACAAAATGTTTCCATACTGTTCTATATTGATGTTATTATCTACAGCAGCGTTTCCCAAACTATGTTTAAATTTTAATAAAATATTTAACACTTTTTGTACGATCATAACTTATTATAAAATATTTTCCTATGTATTAGAATTAGATAATATCGATTTTGCATTGAAGAAGAATTATAGAAGATGCCATATCTATTCTACATAATATCTTAATGGAGAGGTTTATATCTAAAGTATATTATAAGCATAAAGCTGTAAATATTCATTAATATGTAATTTGATTAAATAAATAAATGAATAATATACAAATCTAGAGGGCGCTGTGTGCGCAACATACCCTCTACACCGATATTTCACGTGTCTAGTCTTCTGTAAGCTTTTTCAAAGCTGAATAGAAGTGTTCCGGTGCCAAAAAAGTTTGGAAAACGCTGGTCTACAGGCATGAAGTAGTTATTGAGTAAATACCCAAGTAGTATTGTATGATCGGACTAACATATACGAGCTGTTATTCTGATCGGTATAAGTTGTTTTGAGCATTTGTTCGTCAAAAAAACACATACATACCTGTTTTGTATAAAAAGGTGTGCTTTTAATATAATCTTTTTCCAAACAGATCAACGCTTTATTCAGACAATTTCTCTGTATTTGGAGCCAGAAGTTATAGGACATCAAGTTGTTTGACTGTCAAGAAATGGTATGAAGCAAACGGACATTATCAGAACAATAGAGTACTCTCAGTGTTCTTCGTTTGCCTGGAGAAAAGATGAGGAAAGACTGTCTTTCTCATAGGGAACACACAAGTGGTGGTGCAGTATATCTTTGGGCAGCTATTCATCATGGTGGAAAAACTGCTCTTCATATCCTCCAAGGAAACGTCAATGGCGCCTCCTACAGGCATCACATGGAGACGATATTTCTACCATATGTTAGGGGCAAGATTTGTCAATAATTTTATATTCCAAGATGACCATGCCACTGCCCACAATGCGCATATTATTCAAGATTATCTCGACCAAGAGGACGTTACAAGATTGCCATGACCACCAAAGTCTCCAGATTGTAATTCCATTGAGAACTGTTGGACAGAACTGAGCCGGGAAACTGCTAACCACAATCTTAAATCAACTACTGTAGCTGAGTTGCAGCGCCTTCTAGTGAAGAATTGGAATGAAATCACGGTTGATTACATCAATAACCTCATCGACAGCATATCACATTGCCTTGTGGAGTTTTATTAGAGTACGAAGAGGACAAACCAAGTACTGAATGTTTAATATGAACTGATATAAGGTTACAGACGCTAACTATAATAATTTGATGTTATATATTGTCATCATATATGTTTTGGTAAGGTTTTATTGTGATGGGCAATATGCTGAATTACACAGGTGTCTGATAAACTGGTTTGCTGTTCTAATAAATCGTTCATGATCATTCAACTTACATATGTAGATGTTCAATATAACATGTATTTCTAAGTTTGACAGTGCTAAGTGTATTTGTATTCCATTTTAATAATAGCGATCTTATTTGTTATAAAATATGCATTTATAAGACTGTATATATACTAGATAGGTTCACATTTCTCTGGTTTTAAGATTATATACACCATGTATTTTAATACACCATACAATAGTGGCATAAACAGATCCTTAATTATGATTATGGACGTTGTAGCTCAGATGATCAGGTGAGCTCTTCCATTGGTCAAGAGTTAGTCGGCAGCGACCTATAACAAAATCCTCTTTAAATGCTGTATTTTACTGTCAGCTTGTGCTAAACAAGCTGTAAACCAGCACAATGTTTTTACTTAAATGCTTCATAAGACTTAAAGTGCATGCCCCACCCCACTTCATTCGGTGTTTTACATCATTTAGGGTAAAGTATTAAATATCCGTTCTTTGTAGTGTTCTATGGATGGAAGACGAATTAATCATTAAAGAGACTAACATTCGTGGGCGAATGCAACATGTCTCCGCCATGCAATCCATACACGGCTAATTTTGACACAAGAAAAATCGTGAAAAACACAGAAAAAAAAATCGAAAACTGTCTACATCACTGCTTGGGACCTGCAAGAAGGTACCTTTGTACCAAATACCATGTAGATTGGTCAAATATAGCAGCGTAATTGAACAAAAACCTCAAAATTATGCTTTTGGTGAGCTCTGACCCTCATAAAAAACTCCGAATGGTCAAATCCAACTTTTTTTTATGTCAATGTGCTGGGCGCCTGAAAATCTATATTTGTGCCAATTTTCATCTTGATTACTGTAAAGATGACCGCACAGGAGCTCGATATATACATTTTCGGGTTGTTTGACCTTTGACTTCATAAAATCCTTTAAAAGCCCTAAACCCAAAAAATAAAATATGTCTAGGCGTATTGGACCAAGGTATAATCCTACCCAGATTCAAGTTAATCCGCCGAGAAATGAAGGAATGGCGATCGATTGAAAAGTGTTTGGAAGAAGAAGAAAGAAGAAACAATGGAAAAAGAGTATGCCTCTCTACGGTGACATAAAAATGACACACGTAAAAATTAACAACGAAACTGTGGACTGCCGTTCCCTGCAAACTAATACCAGTAAGATTAGTTATGAACAGAGAAGCTGTGGACAACCATTCCCTTCAAACTACTACTATTAAGGTTAGTCATGAATAGGGAAACTGTGGACAACCATTCCCTTCAAACTACTACTATTAAGGTTAGTCATGAATAAAGAAACTGTGGACAACCATTCCCTTCAAACTAATACCAGTGAGGTTAGTCATGAACAGGGAAAGAGTGAACTACCATTCCCTTCAAACTAATACCAGTGAGGTTAGTCATGAACAGGGAAAAAGTGAATTACCATTCCCTTCAAACTACTACTATTAAGGTTAGTCATGAATAGAGAAACTGTGGACAACCATTCCCTTCAAACTAATACCAGTGAGGCTAGTCATGAACAGGGAAATAGTGAATTACCATTCCCTTCAAACTACTACTATTAAGGTTAGTCATGAATAGAGAAACTGTAGACTACCATTCCCTTCAAACTAATACCAGTGAGGCTAGTCATGAACAGGGAAAAAGTGAACTATCATTCCCTTCAAACTAATACCAGTGAGGTTAGTCATGAATAGAGAAACTGTAGACTACCATTCCCTTCAAACTAATACCAGTGAGGTTAGTCATGAACAGGAAAAGAGTGAACTACCATTCCTTTCAAACTAATACTACTAAGGTTAGTCGCGAACAGAGAAATTGTGAACTACTGCGAATATAGGAATCAGCCAGTACATGGATTTTAGTTGATTAATCTGAAGAAAAAACCTTTGTTTTGTGCACATCTTATCGTTATGAACCTATTATTAAAGAAGAAATAAATATCCCTTTAACCGTATGTACTTGGTAAAATTAATCATAGCTGTTACTGTACTATACACTATAATACTTGCTGAAGTTGTAACAGTACTAAACACAACACTCACTCAAAACATTACGTTATTAAATACAACAGTAATCAGTCTGAACAAGTCCCATCACAAAACTATATTCAAGAGACAACTTATATAATCCATTTTTTCGCAAACACGTAAATACATAAGACAAAGTATCTTACACAATAAAATTGAAAAACTGAAAGGTATTAAGAACTTGTATTAAGTTTTGACTAATACCAAACTGAAGATTCTGAATAATCGGATCGGCCTTGGTGCTGTTTTTTTGTCTAATGATAATAAAAACGGGTATAAGTCAGTTGTTATTCTTATAGTTTAGATTAAAACTGTTCGTGCTTGTTGTAAAGATTCTATTTACCAATTCTTCCAACGAGCTGCATCACTGTGTCTCCACCATCCATTACCCATCGGAGTTCTAACCCCAGACCATCTTGTAGGATCTCACAGTTTAATTTATTCTGAAAGTAAGAGTGAGTTGACATCAGTACATTCTTGGATCATGTAGGTTCACTTAAGAACGAAAAATGTTTCACATTCTTCCCATTTTAAGTTTGTTTTGTTTTTGAATTTCGCGCAAGAAGTACAAATGTCAGGAAAGATTATTATCAGGATTAGTGAAAGTTATGAAAGTAGGCTGATGGTTGATTAAATCTCATGCAAAATTGTAAACATTATGAAAGAGAACTGAGAATTGGCTAAGTCTTAGAGCTAAATGTGAAAATTATGAAAATGGGCTGATGGTTTACTAAATCTCAAGAGCCGAATTGCGTGTAATATGTTGACTATTGTTCCAATATTTGATGCTAGCGGCTATCAAGGGAATACTTTCTTTTGTACAGAAGATATTCATGTACAGCTCGTAAAATTTCAGTTATTGTAGTTTCTTTTTAAATAAGAAACTTTTTAAAATTTGTTAAAAGAAGTATTAAGATGAACTGAACTTGTTTTTTTAACTTCTTGTTGTGAATCGCGGTTCTTAGTTCCTGTTGGTCAGAATGTTTGTTTGTTTTGAATTTAAGCACAAAGCTACACAATGGGCTATCTGTGCTCTGCCCACCACGGGTATCGAAACCCGGTTTCTAGCGTTGTAAGTCCGCAGACATGCCGCTGTGCCACTGGGGGCTGGTCAGAGTGTTTTTTTTATAATCCATTATAGATTTCAAACTAGAGGTACAGATAGAATTTCAAGACTATCATTTATCTACCGCTTGGAGGCCTTTTATAAATTCCAGAATTCAACAGATACACGGTTCTTATAGCAAGCAGTCTCTACATGAATAGGCCCGGTATGGCCAGGTGGCTAGGGCGCTCGACTCGCAATCTGAGGGTCGCGGGTTCGAATCCCCGCCCCACTAAACATGCTCGCCCTTTCAGCCGTGGGGGCGTTATAATGTGACGGTCAATCCCATTATTCGTTGGTAAAAAGAGTAGCCTAAGAGTTGGCGGTGGATGGTGATGATTAGTCTTACACTGCTAAATTAGGGACGGCTAGCGCAGATAGCCCTCGTGTAGCTTTGCGCGAAATTCAAAACAAACAAACTCTACATGAAATGCTGTTTATGTGCAGTGAGAAGCCAGTGATCTGGTGTAAAAGATAAAAAACATATCGCATAAGCTTAAAATTTAATGAAATATGCTTGTCATATTCTCTGTTAACAAAAATAATACAAATATTGATGTTCAATGGGACTGTAAGTGGACCGCTAACATTGAAATTATCATAATAGGTTGTTAATGATAAATTGCTTTACTGTAGCCTTCTAGGATAAGTAATAAGTGTGTAAGCCTGTAAATATGTGTTCAAACACTAGTTAACTACTTATTGATTTTGGTATTTTCAATCTGAACAGCAACTTATTGTCAGACGAACTAAAGGCCGGGTAGGAGATCCCGAGAGTTCAGGTATTGCTATTTCAAATTGCAAACCACTCGCTGCGGTTGTCACGTTTACCGTAAAGTCGGACTTTTTTCTTCTGTACACTGCGCTGCGTACATGAGAGTTCGTTGACATTGTGAGGGGTGCTGATGAAAAAAGACAAAAATGATTGACCCATTATTCGTTAGCACTCATAAATACCGCTTACCATATACGCACATCCGCACTAAACCGTTCGCCCGTAAACATGACAGCCGCAGTCAATTGGTTAAAATATTGACCAGAGGGAAAGCAGCCAGCAAGTAGAGTACATACTCACTACATACTTTCGGTTGCTATGGCACTGAGGCTCAATCACCGCAGCCTAGCACGCTAACTACGCCCGGCTCCAAAGGCTAGGTATCAGGTGTTTAATAAAATAAATAAAATACTAGTTCTCGAAAAGTAGCAATGTATATACCATATTTAATAAAGTAAAAACTTATCAGAAACTTATATAACACATGCCTGTCAATACCATAAAAGGATCACTTCTTTGAATAACGTCCACGTTGATTATTACTAGCTATACTTATGTTTTGAATAGCGTAACTAATATATCAGCTCTCAGTAAGCAACAACATTTGTAATATGATCAGCGTAACGGATCTCAACTAAGGCAACATTAACTGGCAAATTAATTATTAATTCAATTTACAGAGTAAAATAAGTCACTTATCATGTTGTAATAGGTTTTCATGACGTACATGGTATAAACTGAGTTCTACTGAATTTTCTTATACGGTAGAAAAAGTTCTTAAACTGCTTGATTAAAATTTATGTATTACAAAGCGTTAATTGTATTTTATAAGAACTATATTCTAAGTCAATGTGCTTTGATTGGACTACTTCCTCTTAATTGGATAGTTGCTCGAAACAACAACCTCCAATATAAGAATGATCTGCCAACAAGGTTAATCTTAGACGACTATTATGGGCAGGATTCTTTACAGTAGGTGTCTGTAAGTTGTTGGCGTTAAACATAATATATATTCAAACAAGTCAAACGTATGTGCAAGAATTCGTTACACTATTGTTAATCACACTTGTAGTCAGAGCTTTAAATGATTGTCTCTTTTTCGTCAACGTCCACATAGGCGGGTTCAATTATTACATCACCCCTTTAACAAGAGAAATTATTCTCCTTTATCTCTGTTATTACAATAAAAACTGTGAAACTCACTTTAAAATCGCTACTATACGCTCTTTGTGGCTAAATGACAATCATGCAGTCTAACTTCTATTTTTGAACTTTTACTTTTATTAACTTACTTCACTAACTTGATCACCTATGTATATATTGCCCGACAAACTACAAGACATTATGATGTTACAGTACACACTTAAAGCAACAACAACAACAAAAAAATTCAGAAAGTTCGAGTGAAATGACGTAAATTCACAACAATTGAACTTCGCAACAAATGGTACATAAACAGTTATATAAGCAAACCTGTGATATCTATCGCTTCTAAAAATACTAAATTTAACACCTGCGTTTTATAACTATCTAAATCGTAATTCTTATTTTAAATTTATACGCAACTTATACAAAACAGTCGTGTATATCTAACAATAAGCCCTTCTTCAAGGAAACTATTTACAGTATTTTTTACACTATATACAAAGATTGTTTTTAGTTCATACACAAAGTCTCCTCAAAGTCTACATCAACATTTGCAGTTCCCTTTTTGGTTTCTGGGCATCTTGACAGGATCCCTGGTTGTAGTCTCGATTTTGTGTTGTACAAGGTCTGTCTTGTCTGGTCTATCTGTGAAAGCATCTGTGTACTGGCACAGTAGCTGTTCTAGGTCTTTCTTCTGCTTGTCAGTCAGTTCTTCACTGATGTTGATGTTCTTCTACGTCTCATCTCCACCCAGCGTACTTAGGTCTAGTAGGTCTTCATCCTCCATTGCAAAGTCACCATTTTCTGGTTCTGCATCTATGACAACTACACCTGCTATATCAATCTGTGCCTCAATAGCTGCACTTGTTAGGTCTTCTTCCCTCTTTATGTACCTCTTCAACTGATTGGCGTGGAAGATTTGGGTCTTCCCGTCCACTTTTACTATAGAATCCATTCTGTTGGCCACTTCAAAAGATCCTTTCCACTGCAGGGTGAGTTTATTGTTGTCTATAGGTAGCAGAACAAAGACTTTCTGTCCGACCTTGAAACGTAGATCCTTGGCCTTTTTTTCATAGAAGTGCTTCTGACTGCCTTTGACGTGTTTAGCTTCCCCAATAGAATTGCTTCGATAGATCTGATACAGTACTCCTTTCTGATCCTCTATTTTATAAATCTCTCTCCCTTTTTCTTGTGCTCAACTTTCTCTCGGGCACTGTCCCAAATTTTTTTTTGCATGAAAGGGGCTTTCTTTTGTGCTTCCTTCAGTTCTCATAGACCTACATTCGGGATGCCACCTTTTGAGACTTGCATGGACTTGATCACTTGCTTGCCTTTCTTTTCTTGAGCTCTTGTGGTGACTTCAGATGCCTCGCTAGTCTCTTTTCTGTATTGTTCCTCCAAACTTATACTGCCTGATAAATTGCAAATTACCAAGCAGTAGATGGGTGCCTTCATACACATGGCCTCAAGGTCTCCCACATAGTATGGAATGTCCACGTTTATTCTTGCTATGGGAAACTTTCTTACTGTTCTTACTATACCGGTTCTCACTGCTGCACTAAGTGTCTCGTAGAATCTTCACTTCTTTATCCCCGACATAGCTTTCACCTACTAACATGTTGTGATTTGTTGGCACCATTCGACGTTTTACACATGCTCCAAACACTACTGGCACTGTTGATCCATTTACTAACTTGAGCTGGCCATCAATCATGCACTGTTTAATCATGGTAATAGCACCTCCTTCTTGTAGTGAATTTGACGAGTTGTCTCTATTCTGTTTCTTCTGGCAGCAACACTAATGGTTACAGTTGCTCTTTTTATTTTTCGTTTCTTGCTAGCAACATCTTTATGGGTAGCTCTAACTGCTTCATGATGAGATTTCTGCTGCTTCTTGTCGGTGACAGACTTGCACTCACTTGCAAAGTGCCCTATTTTATAACAAGCATAGCATCTCTTCTCCCTTCTGTCTGTTGATTTCTTGTCATCTTTGGTGCCATATTGTTTCTGGTCATTCACCCCTGGTTTCGACTTTAAATGGTTATTCTTGGACTTGCTAGTTATATTCCCTCCATGAGCTTCCATATACTGTTCTGCCAGCTTGATCATCTCGTCCTCCTTTAGGAACAGTGACATGAGAGTGGAGCACGTGATCATAATCTGTTCATGTATAAGTAGATCTGCCAGGTGAGTTCACCTTGTGAAGTATCACCGTAGACGTACTACAAACTGGAATACAATTTCTCCAGTGTCAGATTTGAGTTCTCTGAACTTCTGACTAAAACCTTCCTTTGTAAGTTCATAACATTTCAAAATGGCATCTTCTGATGTCATACCTGCATAGACTTGTAGGCTTTTTCTGTGAGAAGTGGGCTGAGATAGACTGCCCAGTCACCTTTGTCCCAGTTCTGACTTTGGGCAGATCTTTCATATCTCTCCAGCTTGGGTCGACTGGCCCTGACCCCATTGTCATTCTTGGGTCCTTCTTCTGTCTGTTGGGTAAACTTTGCAATCTCAATTTGTGCTCTTATTCTCTCTATTTCTATTTCCTTTTCTTCTTTTAGTCTGTCTTCCTCTCTTCTCTCTCTAGTTCTTGTTGTTGTTTAAGATAGTTCACTATCTTTTTGCCCAAGTTGCTCATCTCTCTATATCCATTTATCAAAATCAGGCAATATGGTTATATATATTTACCCTATTTTCGCCCCCACTACAGTTGTGCGTAAAAAGGCCTACTTCCGCTGAGCAGGATTCTTTACAGTAGGTGTCTGTAATTTGTTGGCGATAAATTTCAACAATAAACGGACAGCACAAAATCCACTTGTTTTAAAAATATATGTTCAAAACAAATTAAATATGTGTAGAAAAATTCGTTACACTATGGGTTATCACAGCTGTATCCAGAGCTTTAAATAATTGTCTCTTTTTCGTCAACGTCTGTATAGGCGGGTTGAATTACTTTAAAAAAACCTTTGACAAGACAAATTATTCTCCTCTACCCTACGATACCAGGCTGTGAAACTCACTTTAGAAATCGCCACTCTACGCTCTTTATGGTTAAACACATAATCACGCTGTCTAACTTCACTTTTTACACTTTTACTCTCACTAACTTGATCGCCTACATATATATATATATATTGCCCGGCTGAGGCCTAGGTACTTTCTACAAACTACGATACGTTATGATGTAACAATACTCATCTAAAGCAATGAGGGCATTTCAGAAGGTTCGTATAACATGACGTCAATTCACAACAATTGAACTACGCAACAAATGATTCGTAAATAGTTACTTAAGCAAACCTGTGGTATCTATCCCTACTATATAACTTGCATATTATAAATATCTGAATCATAACTCTCGTATTAAATTTAAACGAAACAGTCGTGTATATCTAACATAAATGTTCTTCGTTTGTTGTCGTTACAGATTTAGTTGGTTTTGGCTTGTAGTGGTTAAAGGTTTAGATTAAAAATTTCGATGCTCTTGGTTTGTAGTTGTTAAGATTTAGATATTTTTAGCCTATTGTAGTGAAAAGTTTAGATGTTCTTCGCATGTGATAGTTAAAGATTTAGCTGGCTTGGTTTTGAGTGGTTAAAGGTTTTTTTTGGGGGGGGGGTTCGTAATGATTAAAATTTTAGAATTTCTTTGTTTGCAGTGGTTAAAGGTTTATGTGTTCTTGTTTTTGTGGGATATTCTTGTGTTGCGGCGGTTAAAAGTTTCGATGTTCCTAATTTAAGTGTTTCTTTGTTTAGATTTTCTTAGTTTCTAGTGATTAAAGTTTTGGATGTTCTTGTTTTTTGTGGGATATTCTGGTGTTGCGGTTGTTAAAAGTTTAGATGTTCCTGATTTAAGTGTTTCTTTGTTTAGCTTTTCTTAGTTTCTAGTGATT